GGAAAACACATATATAATTACATATTGTTTTTGTGATTAATCACTATGCTTTAATTATGTTCAATTTGTAACAATGAAATTGGGGGTCACCACAACATGAGGAACTGTATTAAAGGGTCACGGCATTAGGAAAGTTGAGAACTACTGTCCTAGAGCCATCTTAGACTCCATGTTTCCCAAACGGAATTTATTATCTTCCCTCTCACCCAGCTTCCAGGTTTCTGTGCCTTTTTCAACAAATGGCAAAACTATCCATCCATTTACTCAAGCTAGAAACCCAAGAAGTTACCCAGGACTCCCCCTTTTCTCTCATCTCCCATCTCCCATATCCATGTTGCCTAATCCAGTGGCAAATGCTTAGCTCTCGATTCACCAGTAGCTCAGCAGCATCCAAATCAGATGTCCACTCAATGTGGAGCACTTTCCACTCTTGCATCCATAACAGCATACTCTGCCAATCTCTCTTGTACCTCACCTGCCTCTTCTCTGCTGAACTGCTAAATGTTGGAATACCTCAAATGATGGTCTTTCTACGTAGATTCTTGTATTATTATGCCTCTCCGATTCATTCTTTAAGTACTAATTGTCTGAGACTACCAAATCTGAATTTCTCCTCTAAAGCTTAGGCTCATAATACACCTGCTTAATTGACATACATCTTCAACTTGCTTTGTCATAACTCAAACTCCTGAAGCCACGTGTTAAATCTTGCACCTCATCTTTTTTGTCCCAGTAAGAATCATCCATCCACCAAACTGTTCAACACTCACAACCTAAAAGCCATGTTTGATTCTACCCTTTCCAGCTAGTTCAAAACCAACAAACCAATAGATCTACCTCAAAAATATGTCCCATATTGTCCACTTCTCTCCATCTTCACCCACCATCAGCCTGGTCCATGTCACCATCATCTCTTGCCTAGACAACACTAGTAACCCATCTATCTGCTGCTTTTCTTGCCCTTCTCCAATTCATTCTTTTTTTTTTCCCAATTCATTCTTAACACAGCAGCCAGAGGGCTCATAAATACAAAGTATGATTATATGATTCTCCTGCCTAAAACCCTCCAAAAGGCTTCCATAATACCTAAAATCCCAAAGTATTATATAAATATAATTTATATAAATTTAAAAATCATGGGTAATTGATCTGATCTGGCCTCTAACACCATAACTAACAACTCTCTCCCTTGCTCACTACATTCCTACCATACTGGAATTCCTTTGTCTTTAGAACATGTTATGTCTTCTGCTTTAAGCATTAGTGTTCCCTCTACCCAGAACTCTCTTCTCCTTAATTTTTGCTCAGCTTCAATGTCACCTTCTCAAAGACAAGTAACAGAAAAACTAAAAGTGGCTGACCAATAGAGATTTTTTTAACTTATATATCCAAAATCCTAAATTAAGGTTTTTCTGTAATTTGAAAAATAAGTGGCCCAGAAATAGTATCAAGGATCCAGGTCCTTTCCATCTTGCTATCTACCAGTTTCAGCAGGTGGGTTAGCTCTCCTCATTATCCAGCCTTCACATACTAATATCAAAGGTAAAAACCTACTACGTCTTGTCCTAGCCAGTTTGGCTCAGTGGATAGAGTGTAGGCCTGCGGCCTGAAAGGTCCCAGGTTCAATTCTGGTCAAGGGCAAATGCCCAGGTTGCGGGCTTGATCCCAATGTGGGGAATACAGGAGGCAGCTGATCAATGATTCTCTCTCATCGCTGATGTTTCTACCTCTCTCTCCCTCTCACTTCCACTCTGAAAACAATAAAAAAATATATTTTTAAAAATAACTATGTCTTTAAAAAAAAAAGAATAAAGAACCTTTCCCAGAAGTCTCTATCACACTTCCTCTATCTCCTCATTGTACAAAGCTAGGCTACATGCTCACCCATAAACCGATCAATGGCCGGGCAATGGGGCCACATAATCAAGTAGAGAAGGATGGATCCCAGAATAAAATCACTGTTCTGCAAAGATAGAGGCATGAGGAGTGCAGCTGAGTAGGTAAACAACAGTCCTTACCACATCTTCCCTGAATCATGCAATCTAAAGTTGCCTCCACTTTTCATGTTTAAATACATTTAAAATTTGTTTTCAAAAGGACCTAAATAGACACTTTTCAAAAGAGGACATTCAGAAAGCCAAGAGACATATGAAAACATGCTCAAAATCACTAATCATCCGAGAGATGCACATCAAAACAACAATTAGGTACCATCTCATACCTGTCAGACTGGCTGTCATCAACAAATCCACAAACGGCAAATGCTGGAGAGGTTGAGGAGAAAAGGGAACACTCGTGCACTGCTGGTGGGAATGCAGACTGGTGCTGCCACTATGGAAGACAGTATGGAGTTTCCTCAAAAAACTAAAAATGGAGCTCCCATTTGACCCCGTGATCCCACTTCTAGGAATATATCCCAAGAAACTAGAAACACCAATCAAAAAGCATATATGCACCCCTATTTCCATAGCAGCACAGTTTTCAAAGATTTTTTTCAGGGGGGGAGTAAGAGATCAACCAAAGGACTTGTATGCATGCATATAAGCATAACCAATGGACATAAGACACTGGGGGGTAGGGGAGGCCGGGGGAAGGTCTAGGGCAGTGAGGGCTGGGGAGACATATGTAATATTCTTTGTAATACTAAAGCAATAAAACAAAAAAAAATTTTTTTTAATTGTTTTCATGGTACTTAACACCATCTGATGCAATAGTAGGCCAAATGGGCTCTGAGGCCAAACTGCCTGGAGTTGAAACCTGGCTACCACTTTACTAACTGCTGAGTTAAATGACTCAATATCTGTTTCCTCATCTGTAAAATGAGGAGGAGGAGGAGGAGGAGGAGGAGGACAATGATGTTACCTACCTCTAGGTTGTTGTGAGGATTAAATGAGTTGCTGTAAGAATTAAATATGTAAAATGCTTAAAACAGCTACCTGGCTCCAGTTTATTCCTAGAGCCCAGCTGTATTCTGGAGATATTCTTGTACCCTAATAATAAATTCCCTCTTCTGGCTTAAACTCTTCATTTCTGGGGTTCTCCGCTGAGCGTTTTTCCGGGTCACACCCCGTCATTTCGCTTTGGCGCCATCTGGCGCCAGAGGTAAGTGACGCGCCTGCGCTCTCGCCGCCCTCTGCCCTTTGTCTCCTAACCTGGTGGAATCTGGTACCCACACCTTTAAGATGCTTGGCCAACACGGAAGCTTTCCGGGGCAGAGGCCTGTGAGCGCGCGCCTGAAGCTTGTTTCTATTGGTCCAGTCCGGGTAAGGGGCGGGCTACAGCAAGCTCCACGCAAGTAACTGGCCTTTCCTGCGGCTCCGCCCCCGGAAGCAATCGGTAACGCCTGTGATTGGCCAGAGCTTCTGGAGGCGGGCTCCGAGCTGAGCGCGGGGTTTTCCTGGGCAATCTGGGCAGCAGCTCGATGGGCGACATGTCCACTGTGGGTGGGGAGAAGCCTGGGGACGCGGGGGGCGAGGGCACCGAAACTGCCCGCCCCTTCAGCTTCAGCCCGGAGCCCACGCTCGAGGACATGTAAGCCGTCTTTCCCCAACCTGGGCTGGGAAATCACCCCCTCTCGCCCTTTTACTGGGGAGGGCCCCTCCACGTGTTGGGAAGAAGTCTAGCCGCTGTGCTCGCGTCCCAGCTCTGCAGTCTGACCTCGGGCGAGTCTAACCTCATATTCAAAATGGGCTTAGCAGCGCGCAGGGGGGCAGGGGGATGGTGACGCCTGGCGAGCGGTGTTAAGGCCCGCCCTGAGGAAATACTCGGTCCGATGCTCTGCCCTCCAGGAGTGGGAGGTAGAACACAGACACATGCAGGGGGAGGGGGAGGCATTGTTTCTTGCTGGAGGAAACCAAGAAAGGCCCCTGAGGGAAAGTCCCGCGGCCCGACACGGCCTCTGTAAGATCGTAGGGTTTAGATCTGCAGAGAGAGGGATGTGCCAGGTGGAGGAGCCGCAGCAGCAGCAACAGGAGACGGAATGGTAAAGAGGGTACTGTTGGGTTTCCATGGAGTTTAGGGTCTGGTCCGTTTTATAGACATGACTAAAGGCCATTCAGGGAGTTACTTGCAGAATCCTGTCGGAAACCCATGCCCCTGTTACAGATCAGAGACAGCTGCCGGGGCCCTGCATCTCCTCCCCCACGCCCTAACCCTGGGACTGGGCTTCCACCCCTTTCTCCTACCCCAGCCGCCGCCTCCATGCTGAGTTTGCCGCTGAAAGAGACTGGGACCAGTTCCACCAACCTCGGAACCTCCTCCTGGCCTTGGTGGGGGAAGTGGGGGAGCTGGCAGAGCTCTTGTGAGTAGATGAAAGGCTTCCTGGAAGAATCTTATTGGGGGGGTGGAGGGTGGAGGGTGGGGGGTATTTGATCATCAAATATCCATGGGTTCAAGTTCCCGTTCTCACTGCCAGGCTCTGTTCCTGGTGCTGGGGATACAGATGACTCATTCCCTTGAGGGGTGCCCGGCCTCCTGGGAGAGAAGACAGACAGCAAGGCAGATCTGGGTCTAAGAAAGGACCAGGGCAATCTTCCTTTTCCTCTGCCTCTGGGATAGAAAGGAATATATTCTATAGCTAACCTGCCCATGGCACTCCAGGCAGAGGCGAGACTACATGTGCCAGGTGGTAAATTCAGGGAGAACCTGAGACTCTTCCTTTTCAAGGAAGAGCAAGGACTTTGTATCTGTTTTGTTCTCTGGTGTGTGCCAAGTGCCTGGCCCACAACAGACATTCAGTAGATGTCTACTGAGTAAGTGATAGGGCTGTGGAGGAGAGGGGTGGGATATGGAGCCAGAATGATAAAATTGGGGTTAGAACTGATGGAGTTTGGACAGAAGACCTGACCAGATGGGAGTGGTGGAGCGAGCACTGTGTCAGCAGGGTGGATGGGTCACCAAAAGAATTGCGGCAGGGAGACCAGTGAGGAGGCTGGTGCAGATAAGGCCAGAGGTCATGAGGCCTAAGCCAGTGAAGTCACAGGGGGGTGGAGATGTGTGTGTGGGCAGGACATTCATTTATTACAGATTTATGAGCCTCATCTGTGTGCCTCCTCTTCTAGATTCAAGAGATAGGACCTTTCACAAGACAGACATGGCTCCCACCTTCACAGTGCAAGGAGACTGACAATAAATAAGCAAGCTTATTTTTTTAATGTATTTTTATTCATTTCAGAGAGGGAGGGAGAGAGATCAGTGATGAGAGAGAATCATTGATCTGCTGCCTCCTGCTCACCCCACACTGGAAATGGAACCTGCAGCACAGGCATGTGCCCTGACCAGGAATCCAACCATGACCTCCTGGTTCATAGGGCGATGCTCAACCATTGAGCCACACCAGCCAGGCTTATTTTAACACAGCAGTTGTGGTAAGTTCTGTGAGTAAAATAGCACCAGGTTGTGAGAAAGGAGGAAGCAGAGGGAGAAGGCTTTTCTGAGGAGGTAACACCTGAGCTGAGACCTGGGCAACAGGAAGGAGCCGGCCCTGGGAAAGCTGTGTGGGGAGCAGGGAGACGATTCAAGGCAATGGGAGCAGTAAGTGCAAGGCCCTGGGACACTTTGACTGACCTGTGTGTAAGTCAGAAAAGGCCAGGGTGACTTTTAGGTGGAGAGTTAGGGAGAGTGGTGGGTTATGACATTGGAAGAGGCGGGAGTCATTCAGCTCATGCAGGACCTGGAGGGCATGGATTTTATTCCAAACACAGCTAGGGGAGTTTCAGGAGAGGGACAAAATGTAATGTGTAAATGTGCTTTTAAAAAATGATGCTGGGCAAGAGTGGAAGATGAGTTGGCAAGCTTCCCCAGTAGTCCAGGTCTGAGATTTAGTCTGGGGTGGCAGTGGCTAGGGCTGGAGAGAAGAATTGGGTCTTGACAAGTGAAATGATCTCTTGCCAACTCTGACTCAAGTAGGGACACACAGGTCTGGGTGACTCATCTGTTGGAGGCTCTTCCTCACCCTGAGTCTACCCAGGGCCCATATGGGTTGAACTGTCCTTGGAGGAAGTTCCTAGGATGTGCGAATTCATTGCTGCAAGAACTGAATTCTGGGGGTCCCGGAGGCGGAACCCATTGTCCTAGCTAGCATCTCTGTGCCTGTGCCTATCTGTGTGTTCCATCCCCAGTCAGTGGAAGCCCGACGGGAAGGCTGGTCCCCAAGCCTGGCCCCCTAAGGAACGGGCGGCCCTTCAAGAGGAGCTTAGTGATGTCCTCATCTACCTGGTAGCATTAGCAGCCCGCTGCCGTGTGGATCTTCCCCAAGCAGTGCTCTCCAAGATGGACACCAACCGGAGACGCTACCCAGCACATCTGTCCCGCGGCTCTTCTCGCAAGTATACAGACCTGCCCCGTGGGGCCACCTCTGAAGACCAGACTGTGGGGACTGCAGACCTTGCCCGTGAGTCCACAGGCCAGGCCTCAACCTAGAAGCATGGAATCTGCAGCTCAGCATGGCATGTGAGGAAGACAGTGGCCTGCCCAGGGAACCTCATTCTAGTCCTTTCCTAACAGATCACAGACCTAGGGACACCTCCTGAGGTCTGAGGTTTAAGAACCTCTGGAAGACAGCCTCTTGGTACTCTTCTCCCTCAATAAAAGTTTCGTTTATCCGCCTCCAGATTCTTCCTGCGGTGGCTGGGGAGACTCCGTCTCAGCAGGTGCTGAAGGGGGCAGCAGGGTTGCCTCTGAGCCCAACTCCCGTGTTTCTCTATTGTAACTCCCACCTGCAGGGCAGAGATCTGACTTCTAGCAGGTTGCCTGTGAGGTTCCAGCCCGTCTCCTTCCCCTTCAGGGCCTCTGACAGAGAGGAGGCTGTGCGTAGCTTTAAGAGCCTAGGTTTTTGAGCCAGGCCATCAGGGATCAAATGCCATCTTTCATACTTAGCTGATGGTATTCATTGATTTCCTCATCTAAATGGAAATAAAGTCCCTACCTGACAGGGTTTTAAAACTTAGGTGAGCCCAGCTGGCGTGGCTCAGTGGTTGAGCGTTGGCTTATGCACCTGGAGGTTACAGTTCAATTCCTAGCCAGGGCAGATGCCTGGGTTTCGGGCTCGACCCCCAGTAGGGGGCATGCAGGAGGCAGTTGATCAATGATTCTCTCTCATTGATGTTTCTATCGCTGTCTCCCTCTCCCTTCCTCTCTTAAATCAATACAAATATATATATTTTTTAAAATAATGGCCCACTCAAGGGGGTCACATCGAGAGGCTATGTTCTATGTCCATGATGTCCCTGTCAACTTTCTTTTCTGAGATGCCCATGGCCTGGGTGATGCTCGAAAAAAGACCTTCAAATTACTTTTGCTGCCCTTGTCAACCTGTTTCCACATCAGTAAAATGAGGGTTTTCCTTTACTGGGCTCATTCCTCTCGGTGACCTTATCCCTCTTACCAGTGATCTCTTACTTCCCAGGTGAAACTCCAGGTTGGATCTGCTTCAGCTTTGTGTTCCCAAGCCCACCCTGCTCCCTACCAGTGATAGTGGGAGCCTTCTCCTTACTGGTTTGATTTCATTACCTCTCCTTGATCAATTATCTCCCCTCTATATAATCAACTCCTCTTCCTTTCCATTACCCCTCACCAGCAGCACAAAAATTGAGTCTCTTCCCTATAGACAAAACCAACAAACTCCCCAGCTACTGCCCTCATACTTTTCATAGCCACGCCTCTTGAGAAGGGTTATTACACCCACCCATCTGCTGTCTCATCCTCCCATTTATATCCTGACCCACTATCACTCCACTGAAATGGCTCACCACTTCCCCAAACTCCTAAAACCAGTGGGCACCAGAGCAAAATCTGACCACTTCCTCTGAAACACTTTTCTCTAGATTTTCCAAATGAGGCATTTCTGAGTTTATCTCTGGCTGTTCTTTCCCAGGTACTTCTTGGGTACCCTTTTCTGGGAGAAGGGCAATGCACTTCAGACCCGATATCGCAAGGTGTTCTTTTCAATCACCTCTCTGACCCCTCCACGCTGACCTCACATTCCACATGTCCAGATTGGGGATAACAGTTGCTGCCACTTCAACTGTTCTTATCCTGTACCATCTGTGACTCTACTTGTGGTCATCCAAGCCAGGAAGTGAAGTCAGCCCCACCTCCCTTATCCCCAGAATTCTAGCTCCTTAATATGTCCACTCCACCCCTTCCCTTATCACTCAAGGCTTCTTTGCTGTCTTGGATACTGTCACCTGGCTTCTAAAATCCCCAGTGGTCGATCTCCTGCCAACCTCGTTGCTCTTTGTCCCTATCTTCAAGCTCTAACAAGTCTGGCAGGCACTTTCAGGGACTCTCCCTAGTTCCCAAACTCTCTTTTAGCCTTCAAGGCCAGCTTAAACATACCTCCAAGGACAACCTCTCTAAACTCATCAGATTGCGTTAAAAACCTAACCAACAACTCCCCCCCCATCATAGCAAATGATAATGGACTACAAATGCCTGTATATTTGTCCCAGTTCTGCCATTCCCTCACTGTCAGTACTTACTTATCTGCAGAAATGGAGATATGATTACCAAACTTGGATGCTGAGGATGAAAATGAGCTGACAATAATAAAGCACTTAAGTCTTAAACAAAGTACTGTTTAGCAGGCCTGGCTCAGTGGTTGAGTGGCAAACAATGAACCAGATCATGGGCTTGATTCCCAGTCAGGGCACATGCCCGGGTTCCAGGGTTGATCCCCAGTATGGGTATGCAGGAAACAGCCGATCAACGATTCTCTCTTATCATTGATGTTTCTATATTTCTCTCCTTTTCCTCTCTGAAATCAGTAAAAATAAATATATTTTTTAAAAGTATTGTCTCTTCATTATACTACGCTCCATGATGTTCATGGCTGCTCACCAAAGCTCTGCGGAATTTGGTACCTGTTTAAGCACAAATCTATCTATATATATAAAAGCCTAAGCAACCACTGAAACCGAATGGATGACAGAATAGGCGGTGTGGGGCAACCAGGCCAGCCAGGGGGGTTAGTGAGGGACAACCAAAGGACTGAGTTGATCCCCAGTATGGGTATGCAGGAAACAGCCGATCAACGATTCTCTCTTATCATTGATGTTTCTATATTTCTCTCCTTTTCCTCTCTGAAATCAGTAAAAATAAATATATTTTTTAAAAGTATTGTCTCTTCATTATACTACGCTCCATGATGTTCATGGCTGCTCACCAAAGCTCTGCGGAATTTGGTACCTGTTTAAGCACAAATCTATCTATATATATAAAAGCCTAAGCAACCACTGAAACCGAATGGATGACAGAATAGGCGGTGTGGGGCAACCAGGCCAGCCAGGGGGGTTAGTGAGGGACAACCAAAGGACTGAGCAGCAGGCTATGTGGGGCGACCAGGCCAGCAGAGGGGGTCAGTGAGGGGCAACAAATGACTGAACAGCAGGCTGCGTGGGGAGACAAATTAACTCTCACGCCCTCACAAGATGGCTGCCTATGACCAGGCCAGCAGGGGGGTTAGACAGGTCGGCAGGGGAGACCAAACAGCAGGCTGCATGGGGCGACCAGGCCCACAGGGGGGGCAGCTGGGGGAGACCAGGACGGCAGAGGGGGGCAGTAAGCGGTCACCAGGCTGGTGGGGGGGGGCAGTTGGGGGTGACCAGGCCAGCAGGGGGTGCAGTTTAGGGTGGTCAGGTAGGTGAGCAGTTAGAAGCCAGGGGTCCCAGATTGGAGAGGGTGCAGGCTGGGCTGAGGGGGGACCCCCCCCCATGAATTTTGTGCACCAGGCCTCTAGTCTAATAGGGTAATATGCAAATTGGTTGGGATGCCATCACAGTAATGACTATGGGTGGGCGGGGTATTGCAGCAACAGGGGTGGGGACTTGCAGCGTACTGAACATGATGTCTGCTGCTGCTTGCCCAGGGGCGGCCCAGGTCTCCGGCAAGCCGCTGATAGCCACTGCTGTTGCGAGGGCCCGAGGCTCAGGCAAGCCTCATGGCAGGCAGTGGCAGCAGCAGAGGTGTGAGGGGGCGTCACCTTCCCCTGATCACAGGGTTGCCTCCCACAGAGGGAGGCCAGAGGCAGCAGCAGCAGCAGCAGCGAGGGGGTAAAGGGGGTAGTGTCTTCCCCTGATCGGCTGATCACCTTCTGTAGAGGGAGGCCCGACTGCTGCTTGAGCCATCAGTAGGACATCCCCTGAGGGCTCCCAGAGTGTGAAAAGGGGCAGGCCGGGCTGAGGGAATTGCCCCCACCCCACAGTGCACGAATTTTGTGCACCGGGCCTCTAGTGTGCTATATTTACAGACCCTTCCAGATCAGAGGTTATAAGGACATAACCAAGGGCCAAGTGTGGGATGACTTCACACACACAAACCCAGTTCCAGGAACCCTTTTGGCTAATAGCCCCACTTGGTTCTGTAATGATTCAGTTAAAGTCACCTGAGCCCAGGGAATACCCCAACTTTGCTCCTTTCCCCCATCTATTCATTCACAGGCACATGTGCGTGAAGATATAATACTTTATTCACTAACATGGGTTGAGGATTTGTAGTGAGGGGGAAGAGGCCACGGTTCCCAAAAATCCTAGTAGAGCAGTGAAGGCAAACCTTTTGAGCTCGGCGTGTCAGCATTTTGAAAAACCCTAACTTAACTCTGGTGCCGTGTCACATATATAAATTTTTTGATCTTTGCAACCATAGTAAAACAAAGACTTATACAGTGGGGCCTTGACTTACAAGTTTAATTCATTCCGTGACGGAGCTTATAACTCAAATTACTCGTATGTCAAATCACTGTGACGTTCGCTGCACCAACTAGCGGTGGGGTATCTGAAGCTGGCTCGTAACCCAAATTTTTTTGAGCTTGCAACTCAAAGCAAAAAATCGGCCGAGAGACTGCTCATATCTCAAAAAAACTCGTTAGTCGGGACACTCATAAGTCAAGGCCCCACTGAATTTTTGATATTTATTTTATATATTTAAATGTCATTTAACAAAGAAAAATCAACCAAAAAAATGAGTTCACGTGTCACCTCTGACACACGTGTCGTAGGTTCGCCATCACTGCAGTAGAGGATTAACTATGTCTCCCAGGTCCCAGGCAGCCAGTTCTGCCATCTCACCCTTTCCCAGACCAGGGTCCCGGAGTCCTTGTCCAGTTAGTCCAGCCCCTGGGGTGGGGGCCCTGGAATGCGCCTCCTCGGCCAGACACTAGCAGCCGCAGGGACAAGGGGGCTCATCTACTCTCACACTCTGGGCAGCGCTCGGTGACAGTGGTGGCCTTAGTGCCAGGGGGCAGCTTGAAGTCTCGGCCGCACACAGCGCAGATATAGAGACGGCGCATCATATGCGAACGACGATGGCGGACGAAGTTTGAGCTGAGGCGGAAGCGCTGGCCGCACTCGGTGCAGGGGTAGGGCCGCTCGCCCGTGTGCGTGCGGGTATGATCTGCCAGGTTGGACCGGTGGCGGAAACAGCGGCCACACACGGTACAGAGATGCGGCTTCTCGCCCGTGTGCACGCGCCGGTGCTTGGCCAGCGCCGAGCTCTGCGCAAAGCGCGTGCCGCAGTCGGCGCAAACATATGGCCGCTCCCCGGTGTGCGTGCGTCGGTGGCGCTCTGAGCGAAGCGGCGCCCGCACTGCGTGCACACGTAGGGCTTCTCGCCCGTGTGGCGCCGCCGGTGTTGCTGCAGGTTGGAGGCGGCCGAAAAGCGCTGGCCGCACTCGGGGCACTCGTAGGGCCGCTCACCGGTGTGCGTGCGGCCGTGTTTGGTCAGCGCCGACTTCTGGGAGAAGCCCCGGCCACACTCGGGGCATTCGAAGGGCCGTTCACCCGTGTGCGTGCGCGAATGCTTAGCTAGCGTGGACCGGCGTGCAAAAGCACGGCCGCAGTCCGGGCACACGTGTGTACGCGCCGGGTCTGCAGAAGGCGCTGCCACCTCCCTCGGGACCTGTGGGGAGAAAGGGGACAAGTCAGTCCTGAACCACAGTCCCGTGAGCAAGAGACCTGGGTCTCTGCAAGCTGTAATCTCAGTTCCGCTTATGGAAAACAGGAAAGCCTCCCTCAGCACTGCTGCGCACATTAAATTAGATACTGCACTAATGTACACAGCACATGCCCAGGGTCATTCTACCTGTTCTTTAATAATTCAACAAGTATTTATTAAGGGCGTGCAAGGTGCCGGACTGTGTTCTAGGCACTGGGGATTCAGTATTATATTTTTTAAATTCCTGCTTATGGGGAAAATGGATGAGTGCTGGTATTGGGTGAATGTTTCAGGTTTAAATAAGGTTAAAAAAAACTATGTAACAAGAGCAAAAAGTAAAGGAAGTGAGAAAGCAGGCTACAGAGGGCACAGCAAGACCCTGAGGCAGGGGTTTTGCCAGTAAAGACCCAGGAATGGCAAGAAAAAGTACATAGGGCCCAATGCATGGAGGGGAGAGTAATGGATGGGGTGCCCTGCAGGGGATCTCTTAGCTTAGAGCCTTGTAATATGAAAGACATGGAAGGTGTCAGAGGAATGATGGCGTAAGGCTGTGTCTTCCTCTCCTCCTGAAATTTCAAAAAGTTAACCATGTATAATTCAACAAAGAAATCCCTGCTCAACACAGACACATGCCTGAGAGACCTGCGCACTGAAACAGCCCACCGGCAATAAACGGGGAGCCAAGAGCAGGAAGTGCAGATGGCCCCCAGGTGCAGCCCTGTAGCCAGGAGCTCAGAGCAAGTGGCAAGCAGTGAGAGAGTGAACAGTCTGAGTCAGCAATGCCTGACAGAGCACAGGATTCTGCCCTGTGCATGTGGCTCGGAGACAGGCAGTGGTGTTTCAAAGAAATGTACCACAGGGCCCTGCCACTGCTTGGACTCCCAAAACCTGCCTCCTGTTGCCCTTGAAGTCAAGTTCAGGAGCGTATTATCTGTAAACCAAAGGCTTGGCTAGGGTGGACCGGCGTGCAAAAGCTACTGCAGTAGAATACGTTTCCCTCTGTGAATAATCCCCAGGAGGGGTGCCGGGACGGGACCCATGGAAGTGAGACACAAACCCTACCCTAAGCAGCACAGTTATACAGTCTTAGGGAAGCCACGGTGGTTCAAGACTGGGGGTTCAGAGGTAAAAATCTTGTGAGTCAGCACCATCTACTGGAAAATAGTAGAAAGACCTCTTCAGAGATAAATGCATAAGCAAAGGATACAGCAAGTACCATGAAGAACCACAGTGATGATGATGACCAAAAAGCAGGCTGGAACACATGGAATTATGTGATATAAATGACAGAGATTTCACCCTAGCTGGTGTGGCTCCATGGATAGAGTGTTGGCCCACAGACTGAAGGGTCCTGGGTTCAATTTCAGTAAAGGGCACACACCTCGGTTGCATGCTCGATCCCCAGCCCCAGTCGGGGTGTATATGGAAGGCAACCAATCGATGTGTCTCTCACATCGATGTTTCCCTCTTTCTGTCTCTCCCCCTTCCTTCTACTCTCTCTAAACATCAATGGAAAAATTTTAAATTTTTTAAAAATAATAAATGACAGATTTCAAGTTTGCAGTCCTGAAAATACTCAATGAGATGCAAAAAAATACTGACAGGCAATTCAGTGCACTTAGAAAACAAATCAATGAACGAGTACTTTACCAAGGAGATTAAAAAAAGAACCAATAAGAAGTCCTGGAAGTGAAGTATGCAATTAAGGAGATTAAGGGTAAACTACTGAGCATAGAAAACAGAACAAATGAGATAGAGGAAAGAACTAGTGATATTAAAGATAGGAATCAAGAAATGGTGCAGAGGGAAGGGAAGAAAAAGACCTGAGAATAAAGAAAAATAAAAGAGCTCTATGAGACCTATCTGATTCCATCAGAAAAAGCAATATTAGAATTACAGGCATTGCAGAGGAGGAAGAGAGGAAGCATGGAATGAAGAGTCTATTAAAACAAATAGTGGATGCGAATTTTCCAAATCTATGGAAAGAACTAGATCCTCGCCCTGGCCGGCTTGGCTCAGTGGATAGAGTGTCAGCCTGTGGACTGAAGGGTCCTGGGTTCGATTCCGGCCAAGGGCACATGCCTGGGTTGCAGGCTCGATCCCCAGTGGGGGTTGTGCAGGAGGCAGCCGATCAATGATTCTCTCTCATCATTGATGTTTCTATCCCTCCTTCTCCTTTCCTCTCTGAAATCAATAAAGAAATATATTTTAAAAAAAGAAAAAAGAATTAGATCCTCGATTCCAACAAGCAAACAGAACACCCGGTTACCTCAATCCAAAGAGGCCTTCTTCAAGGACCTATCACAAATTAATGACAAAGAAAAAAGTTCTCAAAGCAGCCAGGAAAAGAAGGAAGTAACCTACAAAGGAAAACCCATCAGAATCATCCGAACTCTCAGCAGAAACTCTACAAGCCAGAAGAGAGTGGAAGCAAACAGTCAAACTCCTGAAAGAGAGAAATTACCAGCCACAAATAATATATCCAGCAAAATTATCCTTTAAATATTAAGGAGAAATAAAGATGTTCCCAGACATACAGAAGCTGAGGGATTTCATCACCAGAAAACCTCCATTGCAGGAAATACTCAATAGTTATTCTACCTGAAACAAAGAACATAAGGCCATAACACCATGAGTAAGTTCAACAATAAACTTACAGCATAAATAGGGATAATTTGTGACAACAAAAACATAAAAGGGGAGGGGGAAAGGTCTGAACTGGAAAAGGATAATGAAGATCAGATGCACTCAAAAGGGAAAAAACTGCCCAACTGGCGTGGCTCAGTGGTTGAGTGTGGACCTATAAACCAGGAGGGGTCAGTTCTATTCCTGGTCAGGGCACCATCCTGGGTTGTGGGCTCGATCCCCAGTATGGGGTATGCAGGAGGCACCCAATCAATGATTCTCATTATTGATGTTTCTACCTTTCTCTTCCTCTCTCTTCCTTTCTGAAATCAATAAAAATATTTTTTTTAAAGAAAACATAACACTTCTTAATATATACCCACCCAACCAGGGAGCACCGAAATATATAAAACTACTCACAGAACTAAAGGGAGAAATAGACCAAAACACAATCATAATTGGAGACTTTATACTCCATTGACAGCTCTAGACAGATTAACTAAACAGAAAATCAATAAAGAAATATTGGCCTTAAATGAAACACTAGACCAAATGGACATAATTAACATTTACAGAACCTTTCATCACAGAGCATCAGATTATACATTCTCCAGAGCACAGCATTCTCAAAGATTAACCATATATTGGGTCACAAAACTAGCATCAACAAATTCAAGACTGAAAGTTTACCAAGCATGTTCTCTGACCACAATGCCTTGAAATTAGAAATCAAATGCAAAAATGAAGTAAAGAAACCCACAAATACATGCAGATTAAACAACATACTACTAAAAAATGACTGGGTTAAAGAAATAAAAGTTAAGATTAAAAGATATAGAGAATCTAACTGGTTGGCTCAGTGGATAGAGTGTTGGCCTGCAGACCAGAGAGTCCCGGATTCGATTCCAGTCATGTACCTCGGCTGCAGGCTCCTCCCCAGACCAAGCGCTGGTCAGGAGGCTCATGCAGGAGGCAACCAATTGATGTGTTCCTCTCACATTGATATTTTTGTCTTTCCATCTCTTTCACTCTTCCACTCTCTCTAAAAATCAATGGAAAAATATCCCTGTTGAAGATTAAAACAAAAACAAAACAAACAAAAAAACTCCCAAAAAACAAAAGTCCAGGACCAGATGGCTTCACCAGTGAATTCTACCAGACATTCAAAGAAGATTTAAAACCATCCTTCTCAAAACCTGGGAAAGATAACACAAAAAAAGGAAACTACAGACCAATATCTCTGATGAATACAGATGCAAAAATCCTAAACAAAATACTAGCAATCTGAATACAACAGTACATCTGAAAAATAATACATCACGATCAAGTGGGGTTCATTCCAGGGGCACAAGAATGGCTCAACGTACACAATCAACATAATACACCACATCAACAAAAGAATCAAAACCATGTGATTTTACCAATAGATGCAGAAAAAGCATTTAAGATACAACATCCATTTATGATTAAAACACTCAATAATAATAGGAATAGAAAGGAAGTTTCTCAACAAAATAAAGGCCATATATGCCTAGCTGGCAAGGCTCAGTGTTTTAGCATCAACCTATGAACCAGGAAGTCACGGTTCGATTCCCGGTCAGGGCACTTGCCAGGTTGTGGGTTCAATCCAAGGTTTGGGGCTTGCAGGAGGCAACTGATCAATGATTCTCTCTAATCATGATGTTTCTCTCCCCTCCACCTCTCTGAAGTCAATAAAAACATTAAAAACAATAATAAAGGCCATATATGATAAACTCTCAGCTAATATCATACTCAATGGTGAAAAACTGAATGCTTTTCCTCTAAGATCAGGAACAAGACAAGAATGTCCACTCTTACCACTCTTATTCAACATAATGCTGGAAGTCCTAGTCAGAGCAATACGGCAAGAGAAAGAAATAAAGGCATGTAAGTAGGAAAAGAAGTCAAACTGTCACTTTTTGCAGATGACATAATTCTGTATATAAAAAACCCAAAAGACTCCACTAAAAAAACTATTTAGGAACAAATATAGTCAAGTTGCACAATACAAAATCAATGTGCAAAAATGCATTGCCTTCCTGTATAATAATGATAAAACTTCAGAAAAAGGCCCTAGCTGGTTTGGCTCAGTGGCTAGAGCATTGGCCTGCAGACTGAAGGGACCCAGGTTCGATCTGATCAGGGGCACATGCCTGGGTTACGGGCTCGATCCCCAGTGGGGACATGCAGGAGGCAGCCAATCGGTGATTCTTTCTCATCATGGATGTTTCTATCTCTCTCTCCCTCTCCCTTCCTCTTTGAAATCAATCAAAATATATATTTTTTTTAAAAAAATTTTTTTCAGAAAAAGAAATGGAGAAAAAAACAATTCTTTTGCAATTGCAAAAAAAAGAATAAAATATGTAGGAATAAACTTAACAAAGACATGAAAGACCTATATACTGAAAATTACAAACATTATTAAAAGAGATTGAAAAAGACACAACAAGCCGAAACCGGTTTGGCTCAGTGGATAGAGCGTCGGCCTGCGGACTGAGAGGTCCCAGGTTCAATTCCGGTCAAGGGCATGTACCTGGGTTGC